ATGAACTATACTAAAACTTATACAACGTGTACTTCCTCTACAAAAAGAAAAACTACATTGTATTGCAAAATGTAAGTAAAATTTTAATTTTCAACAAATCGGATAATGATCTTCTAATAATTTATTCTGTTAATTACTCATCATATAGCTGATTTTCATATAAGCCTGACAAGCTTTCATATTTGTTAAAAAGTATCAAACAATTTTCTTCTAAAATACGTTTTTGTTTATTTCCATACGATTATTAAAGTCTGCATATTTCATGAAAACATAAATAATTACTCTGTTTGTACAGAAAGCTGTTATTAGAAGGCAACCCAATGGTTGTCCAAATACCGTATATTTTTACATTCTTCAAACTAGTATTAAAAAAAAGGTAAGTATACCAGAAAGACTATTTTCACGATGCAAAATTTAAGCTTAACACCCTTGTGATTTTAGTAATTCCAGAAATTAGCCAAAGGAACGATCAAACCTTCAAAAATCCTAGAATTTTTCAACAGTTATTATAAATATTATTTTTAACGAATATTTTGATAGAAGTTTTTGAATTTTTGGTTTAAGATTTTCTACTAAAATGTCGACTAACAATTTTATTTTTCATTTTGACAAAATATTGAAGAAATTGCAGAAATTAATAAATAGAAGGTTATATCATAAATTTAGTCATTGTTTAAACAAGTGAAAATAATTAATATTCATTTGAGTATAATAAGTAAACTTTTAATTTGGTAGTAAAATGCATAATCAAAGATCATTTTAAAAAAATACATTAAAATATATAAGGTTGTCAAATATCCGCCTTTTTGTATTATAAACCAAGAGCAAAAAAGCGGAAGGGAGATATTTAATATTATAACTAAGAATTAAGTATACTCGTATATGGTTAATAACAATATATTTTAAATAAATAATTAAGTACATATAAGGTTTATTTTTGCACTTATTGTGCTTAATCGAGTCTTAATCGGGTCCAAATTTTTTCTACACAAAACTAAGTTATTTAACACTAAGTATTTTAACATTTTCAACATTATGGAATCAATCAATCTTCCTAATCTATCTTTTTTTTAATCTAGTCGCGGATTCTGTAACAAACTCGATTAGCTCGATATCAAGCAGTATGATATTAATTAAAGTTAGAGATCCCAATAATTATAATACCTAAGCGAAAATCGTCTTATGTGGGCTTTGCTAATATAGATTATCTAATACATATAGTCTACTACTAGGAGTGGTTGACCGTTGGGCTGCCCTCTCAAGAAATATACGAGATTTGATTGTAATCACAAATGTCCCACAATTTTCTACACAAAAATAAGTTTCTATTTACACTTTCATAATACATATTTTAAAATTGTGGAATCAATCAATTTTTATAATCGATTCACTTTTTTGAAACTCGTCTCGGGTTCGATAAAACCTCGGCCAGGTCGATATCAAGCAGTATGATATCAATTAAAGTTAGAGATCCCAAATATAATCTTAAATGAAAATTGCCTTACGTGGGCATTGCTAATATAAATTATCTAATACATATAGTCTACACATTAAAAATAGAAGAAGTTGACCAATGGGTTGCCCTCTCAAGAAACACTAGGTTTGTTTGTACGATCACAAACACAGCTCACACACACAAAGTTCTGCTCGTTCATAAAATTTACCTGATAATTAAAAATTAATCGTTTATGTCAATTACAATAGGTAAACTTTCGACCAGCTTTCCGATTCAATTAATGATTCAACAAAACGGGTTGTACTATCCTCCACTTGCAATGTAACTTTTATGCGAAACAACGCAATATGGTTTACAGTTTCATGTAAAAAAAATTGCAACACGCAAACAAACGGCTTTTGTAGCGTAAAAATAACGATTTGAAAATTTTACACAACTAATTACATAAAAGCATAACGAGTTTCCATCAACGAGAACGTACAGTTTATGAAAATTGTTATGAGCGAGGAAAGTAATAAATAATAGAAAAATATTTGTATTAATTATTGATTGATGGTAAATTAGAATTTATATATATATATATATATATATATATATATATATACAGTAGCGGCGTTAGGCGTCGGCGGTGTCGGTTGTTTACGTTTGTTTAAGGTAATAAAAATACCGGTAATTTACCGGTATTCCGGTTCTAAAATGAAAAATTACCGGTATTGAAATGTTCCATCGGTATTGCATTCCCTAATTGGAAGAATTAAATAAGTTATTTTAGTATATAAATTTGTGATATGAATTCTTAAATCCAAATTACAGAAAAACCTGATCTATATTTTCATAGCTCAAACTAATTTTTGAAATACCACATGTTTAAAAAATATGACTAAAAATGTAACAAAAAACTACGTTTCTCTACTCTCAGGAAAACTTTTCCAAAATGTTGAAAGTCAAAATTTCTAACAGGAAGAAGACGAGAAATTTATTTTCAAAATTTTAGAAATAAATGTAGTGGCTAAAAATAGATTCAACATACTCATCGATTTATTAGTGCATATGTTGCTAGCAATATTGTTATGCAAGAAATAGTCAAAGCATGAATACAAAATAATTCCATTATATCATTTATTTCAGACAAAAATGCAGTACTCCTTCTGCCTGATAATTGTCGTCTTGGGTAAGTAACATCATTATTGCATAACTTTTTTTATTTTCATATAATTACAATCTGCCTGGTAATTTAAAAAAGTTATAAAATTTGAAAATGCTATTTAGTGATAGTCATTTTAAATTTGAAAAGAAATGAGATAAAGATATAGAAAATAGTAATGAGTCTACATTACATGTTAATTTGGTGAATTTGAAGGGTTTGTTTAAGGAAAACATTATTTTGCAAGTTGGTTCGGATGATATTAAAGTCTAATATCATTACAAATTATATTTCATATTTGAGCATTCATATAAAATCAAAACAAATTTCATTTCGAGAGAAAATCTTGAATGATTAAACAATCGAGCCGCTTCGAATGTAATTTTATTGACAAAGAAAGTTACAAGTTAGAACATTATGCCTTCATTGTCTATTTATTATTTACATTTTTGACGAACGTATTTAAGTATCGATAAATGTAAAATTAGTTACACGATGAACTTTTCAAATTAATGTTTATGCTTTAGATGTATTAGAAAATCTTAGTAACAAAAAGTTATTGTGAGCTGACTGTTCAAGACGATTTCTCGCTTTCTTCAGTAATAAATCTAAGTGTTCTATGTTTTTAAGATACTTTAAACTAATGCAAAAGACATTTTTAAAATTATTAATTAACAGTAAATGTACATGCGTAAAAATAGGTAAATTTATACCAAATATACCGAATGTACTAAAGTTAAATATATTTTTGCTACGTATACTTACAGAAGTCTTTAATAATATGTATTATGTTAACTGTTTTTTGCACGTTGAAATATATTGGATACATTTAGCAGCTAAGTAATTCATCAAAATATAAATTTAAAAATATTTTAATTTTTTTATACTTTTCGATACCATTCTCTAAATCAAAGCAGGAAAAACCAAAAATGCAAAATTTTAGCAGATTATTTAATGAGTGAAAAATTTATTTAACAATAAGCTCCTGTTTAAAAACTTTTTGGGGTCTTACTAAATAATTAACTTATGTCAGTACTAACGATTTTGATCACTTTTAGTGCAATTATAAAGTGTGTGATGGATTTTTTATTATTTATTTCTTTCTGTTCACAATTAGACAAAATACTTCGGCCATACTTATGCAATGGACATATTGCATAGTACTATTTTGCAAGCACTATCAGGTAGATCATTCAAGGCAAAAAAAAATAAAACCTGTTCGCCTAATAAAAATATTTTGCAAGTTCAATAAAAGACCTTATAAATATAATATCGACAATAGAATGAACAGCTATATAGTAATGAACGCTAAAAATAAAATTGGATACAAAGTGCTGTTCGCCTAATAAAAATATATTTTTGAAATATTTGCCAAGTTCAAAAAAGGACTATATTTGGTGATTGTCTTTTAATTTTTACCCTAACATCCTCTAAAAGCAGACCAATGAATCCACCGGTAAAAAGAAAAGACTGGCATTTATTGCAATGACTGTTCATGATCTATTTGTTCCTTTTGAGCTCATGTGCTGATGTCCCAGAGGACCAAATAATTTATATGTAAACCATTTTAAATATTAGCATTTTAGTAGTCCTTACTCTATGTTATTTTTTCAGTATTATATGGACAAAATGGTTTTTGTGATTGGTTGCATTTTTACATAATAAACATTACTACTCACAATTAAAACACTATGTCACTATTAGTCAATGAACCAAAGATGAGTAAAAACGATTGACTAGTTATAAAATCGAGGAATAAATAAAAATCATTAAAAAACAAAACACCGTGTCAATTTGTCCGTACTTTTTCTATATGTTAAATAAATGACTAAAAAGCCATAGACCTTACACTACATGGACTACTATTCCTCATATGTTTTTTATTTTATGAAGTATCAAAAGATAGAAAAGGGACTATGATGTCTCTTAGTGAACGAGTGTTGTCGACAATCGTGGAACACTCACGATCGATTGAATGTCATATTATATTAAGATATATAATATAATATATTATGTAATGTCCACTATTGTTTATGCAAATCGAGCACAGAATATTTACTTTTAGGTTAAGCACGTGACATATGACATGATATTTAATCAATCGGGAGCGTTTCACGATTGTCGGCAACGCTCGTTCAGTAAGCGACGTTATAGTTCCCTTTTATTTTTTGACACTTATTTTGCGCTCGAGTAGCAGTCCATGTAGTGTAAGGTCTATGTAAAAACCTCAATTGAACACATTTACTCTTAATGTAGAATATGCAGTTGCATATAAATCCATTTAAGACAAGAAATCTAGATAAAACACGTGGTTCATACTATTTAAAGATTATATTCTGAATAAATTATATTAATGATAAAAACATTATTGTATATTATTAATCTTCACTTTCATTCTAGGACTATCATGTGCGAGAAGCGTGGACAAGTCGGCCAGCTTTGATTATGGAGATTATGATTTCTCAAACCAGCATGCCCAGACGTTCAACGTAGGACACGCTGTGAGTAATAAATATTATTAGAATTTATTATTAACCAATTACTTTTTATCAACAATAAAATTAACTTATGCACTCGGTAATATACTAACTTTCCCGAGCACTTCTTAGACATGTAAAACGGTTTTATACTTTGCAAATCAAACAACGTGCACCCAAAATTAGCTTCAATATGGAAAAAAACATAAGTAAATTCTAGTTCTCACCATTTTCAATGTAAAAATATAAACACGAATTAGTCTTATCATTTACCAATGCACTACAACAACACATCCATTCAATTGAAATGTAAAGAAACAACTGACAATGTAAATATATAAACATTTTTGATAGGGTGTTCTTCAAAAATAGTGGGTAAAACAGTATGCTTATTATGAAAAATTAACGAAGTGTTCGTGAAATCTTATTGTATCATAATTGGATTTCAATCATTATGTTGTACTGAATCATATCTAATTGTTAATAGTTTTACCATGTGACCTTTTGCATAAATATATGTTTGTAAACTTATTAACTTCCAGTAGAGTGAGTTATAGTAATCGCAAAGAATTCTGAAATGAAAATTTTTATATATCTTTACGTTTCAAAGTTTTCTAAACATTTTGGTATACCTTACATCAAAAATGTGTGTGTGATTGCGTGTGTGTTTGTGTGCGGATACAATTTTTCGTCGACTATTTATGGAACACGTATTAACCGATTTGAATGATTCATAGAACAATCGATTTCTATTGATGAGACATGCTGATTAATTTTTGGCAAAAGTAAGTCCAGTCGTTTCAGGCAAAAAATCCAAAAATGGCAATTCAGTTTTTGAGAGAACAGAGCGTCCAATTTGAATTATTCGAACAACATTTTATTTGTATAGATGAAATTAAGAACTGATTAAATTTTTGGGAAATGCTGTTTCGGAATTCCAATAAAAATGTTAAGAACAAATGCCATTTTGGTTGTTAAAATTAGACATTAGACATATGCACATCAAATTATGAGATATCTTATAAAGATTTTAACAATAAGTACAAATTTTATTTTCATGGACAGGAAAAATGCCATGAGTTAAGTATTAAGGTTTATAAAAGTTTATAGTATTTAAGTAAACGGCTAGTTAAGAGTAATAATAAAGAATCTTCTGAAATTTTAAAATAAACATTTTTTTCATTTTCAGAAGTGCATTTATTTCACATTTTACTGTACTAACTCGATTCACAAGCGATTGCTAGTTTTTATAAGTAAGAGTTTCATGTAAGCTTGACTAGGACCTGAAATAATATTTATTATTAGTGACAGTTTACTTATAAGTAATTCAATAAATAATTTTAAAATATCGGTAACAACGTTTTAGAGGGTCAATATATATAGTTGTTCATTAAATCCTTGAAACGAATAATAATGAACCTGTAGAATAAATACGCCAAATTTAAAAATAAAATTCGTTGTGTTCAACAAAATATAATTAACGTATTTTGCATGTATTAACTCGCACCGTAAGAAATTACTTTTTTCGAATTTTACGAATTATTCGAGATCAATTAATAAATTACTATTTACCTCCTCCTATCCTTCACAGAGTGCAGGCAGCGGCAAAACAGGCTACAGCAAAGGCAGCGGCCTTCGCTCCATAGCTCAAGGCAGTGCTGACCAAGCCAACAGTGCTGTGGCCAATCAGCAGGCGGCTGCCAAACAGGCTGCTTATCAGGCCAAAAACCAATTGGCCCAAGCGGCTTCCCAAGCTGCGGCCACGGCCCAAGCTGCTCTTCATGGTACGTCGAGATAATAATAAGCAGTGTCCATAATTTGGTCACAACTTTTCATTTTGCGAGACTAGCGCACTAATGTGAATAGTTTTGCACAAGACATTTAATACAAGGATAAACACACTTTGTTTTCTTAATGAAATACTAGAATTTCAGTTCGTTCACATCGAATTTTAAATTATAATGCATTACACACTTGTATATACACATAAACTTTAAACGCCAATGCCGCAATACATTCATCGAGGCAGTTCATTTAGATATAATTTTAAATTTTAAAAATTTAAACTTAAATTTAAATTTAATATTTATAATAGTATAAATTTTAGAATTCACTCCAATTTTGATCTGGTATCAGTTGTAAGTCCCAATTACTTAAAATCCACCTGAAATTATAAATAATAAAATTAGTCACAATTTTTTTCATAAAGCACTTTCAGTAATAAAAATGGTTATTAATACAGATAATTTTTTAAAGGTAAACAAGTGCTTTTAGAAGGATTAGAACAACAAAGTGAAGATGCTCATCATGCATTGGAAGCAGAAATTGCTCAACTTCAACAAGCAAAGAGATCTGCTAAGGCCGCAGCATACGCAGCTCAACAAGCTCTAAACCAGGTAAAAAAATATATAGATAAAAATCGTATATAATTTTACTGGTAGTACTGAAATGCTAGCATATTTTTAAGGATAAAAAGATATATAAAGAAAATAATAATTATTAATAAATATTCTGTTCTTTAGAACTTCTATTTTCGACCTGGTAAATATGAAGCGCCAAACCGTAAAACTATATAACAAACGTTTTATACTTTTTTAATTGCTTCTTGTCAAAAAATTAATTGATTTCGTTCTCCCCAACCTATATTAAAATATAATATTTTTTTGCTTTTACAATAATTTAGAACTGCTAATTATTCACGTAAGATCTGCTAGTGTCGAGACGTAACACAAAAAATCTTATTATTTTATAATTATTTTATTATTTACTTATTAGGTCCTGTAACGTAAGAAGCCCAGGAACATATATAAGAATAAATTATTTCATTGCTAAATCAAATGTAAATATATATTACAACTGTTATCCCATGGTAGCAAAAAATTAACGTATTCCTTCTATTGTTCCAAATTAGTTACAATCAAGTACCAACATCTAAAGACCGATTACACAAAATCACAATCTCTTATTCCAATTAGTAAAACTGTCCAAATTACATACTTTTCAAAGAAAGTATATGTTTATACCAAATATAGAACACAAAAGTTCTCTTTCGATGCATGTCGTGGGTACCTTTTTCTAGGTCTCCACGCCCATTTGAATTCGCCCAAAATAATTATACCAGTCAAAAATTCACTTATGTCGAATCACAAGTGTGAAAATACAAGCTTTCTACATACTCACTTTATAAAAATAATTGTAGCGTTTAAGTTCTAATTCACTAATAACTTTCACGCGCCGTTTGGTTAACAAGCGAATTTAATAATCGTAGTCAATTCAGTAAATTATATAATAAAATTTATATATTTATTACACATTTATTTTCACTTTTATTCAAATTAATGATTAATTGCTATTATTATAAATATCGGTCATAAATACGATGATGTTGCTTTATTTTTAATTGTATTTAATAATAAAATGAAAATGAGAAGAGAAATTTGTTGTATGATTTGGTGAGGTTTATTTATGATCTATTTAATTATATCATTGAAAACAAAATCGTTAGTTTTATAATAAATGCAATAAAGTAATTATCTAAAGATTAACAACGAGATAGTCGGTTTATAATTCGAAATTAAATTAGAAAGAATATTTAAGAAAACGATGCTGATGATATTCATAGTTTGGTTTAATATTGAATATGCAACTTGCAAATGTTCGTAGCCATCACGACATTAAAAAAAATTATACTTAATTTCATTCATCCATCGGATGTTTGACTGAATCCTATTAAATCCGATTAAATACTTTTGTCTTAGTTTGACTCCCAAAGTAATGTTTCATAATTTTTTAACTGATCGAGTGAGTTGTTAGATAATTTTACCGAATTCAACCGAAGTTACGAAATATCATGGATAATTATAATTATCCGAATTCAAAAAATGACTCATTGCTTGTTTCTAGTTAAACGGCAAAATATTTTAAGATGTATTCAGTCGACAATTTTTAGCCCTTAATTTGACTTAACTACGATGGTTCTACAGATGGCAACCCAAACATTTGTCTCATCTCTTGATAAATTTTATTATTACAATTGTAATAGAACAAATATTTTATTGATGCAGTAATACCGGATAAGGCTATTTTCACTTGGAAACATATTGCTATCTACATTTTCAAATAAAAACCGATGTCACTACAGTCTGGTACCAGGCTCCGCGCAGCGGGTTCGACCCAGGAACTTCGGATTCAGGTCCAATCGCTCTAGCCACTTAACCACCGTATATAAACAAATACCAAGAATATTTTGTTCCTTTACTTACTAGATTACTATCCACAATCTAGATTCCTCAATATCAATAATTTCTTTCCTACCTAACTTAGTGGACTAATTTGGACCACATACTACTTCAACTAATAATTTTAATAAAAAAATTGTATTTGATTTAGGTAAATGTGATTACTGCTGCTTTGAACACTGCCCAAGCAACTGCTGAACACAGCCAGCAAGCTGCCCAAGAAGCTGCCGCCGAAATGGCCTCTCAAACCGCAATGGTTGGAGCTGCCAAAAACCGCGTTGAACACATTGACGAACAATTGCACCAAGCTAGAGTGGATTTTCAGGTAACAGATAATCCAGATAGAAACCAAGTTTATTGTAAAATCAAAGTAACCATACTTGATGCAAGAATAACATCGTGGCATCGGAGAACGACCTTTACATTAGTAAAGAAATAGAATAAATTTTATGAATGTTGAAGATTTATCATGAATGTTAAGAGAACTGTTCTAAACCTTATGACGTATTGAAGCATAATTAAATTTATGGCCTCACTGCAAATCATCAAAATTGTTGGCGGTCAATAATAAAAGCAAAAATTTATTTCCCTAAGTTAATTCTTCCTTCTTCCAGGCAACTCAAGAGGCAGCCCAAAATGCAGCTAATTCGGCTCAAGCTGCCCAGAACAACGCAGCTGAGGCAGCTGTTCACGCCACCGTCGGATTACACGAAACCAACAACCAAGCTGATCTCCATCAAGCATCTTACGAAGCCGAACAGGTCAGCTCTTATTATGTCAAACCCAAGGTAAACACGAAACACCAAACACGAATTTTTGTTCATTTGACTGATAAATCATTTTGTTTGAAGTTTCAGTAACTAATTTTGATACATGATCATCTCATCAAAAAGCACTAGGACAGAATGGAAGTAAAATAATATTGAGTCGAATTTAAAACAGTTTGATATATAGACATTGAGCACATTTAGCTAATTTTTCACATAAACACTGAGAGCTATCATAACATGAGAACATTTTTCTATTATTGCATGAGCAGCGATCAGAAGTTAAGGTTTCTATGAGTTGTTTTGATGATTTGACTTAACTACGTCAGTTTTATAAATGGCAACCCAAAGAGTTGTTCCATCTCTATGAGATGATTTTTTTTATAAGTACAATTTCTGTAATAGTGAAGAATTTTGTATTGAAGCAGGGTAAGGGCTATTTGTATTTGGAAAACATATTGCTATCTATATTTCCTTGTGAAAACCGATGTCACTACTGTTTGACATCAGGCTACTCGAGGCTGGCATCAAACCAGAATCTTTAATTAAAATCCCAAAGCTCCAACCACTGACTCATAGAAGAACCCAAGAGAACAAGCAACCATTGACCACATAATTAAAGAAATTAGGCTTTTGCATAGTTTAGTGGTTGGAACTATGGGCATCCAATCAGAAGTTCCAGGTTTGATGCCTGCCTCGGACAGCCTGATGTCAAGCAGTAGTGAAATAGGTTTTTGTTTGAAAATATTGATAGCAATGCTCCTAAGGAAAGATAGCGCTTTCTTCAATAAAAATTCCATCAAATATTTATTGTTTAAGTATTGGGTTGTCTTCGACAAAAGCCACGTTATTAAGAATGTCACTACAACCTAACTAAGAACTACTAAGTTCTGATTGCTGTTAATAATGAAAAATATAAATATGAAAAAATGCTTATATATAAATAGCTCTAGTTTTTAGAAACCTGAACTTACAGTTTGGGTAACATTAATTATCAGAGATTGTGATGCTATGTTTTGTTCTCCCTAATCAATATAATTTAATGTTTACAATTAAATTCAACCATCAAAAACAGTGTCTTCAGAAATTCTGAAGATTCGTTTATTCAAAAACAATCACACACCATACAATAATTTAATAGTTTAGCTTATACTGATCATCGATATTGTCAATCTTTTAGCATTTACACGCCGTTAGTGAACACTCAGCTGAAGCAGCTAACCACAACTACAACTATAAACCTGCTCCAGTTTCCCAAAAGCACCACAAACAAAGCATCATCATCCAACATCACCCTCACCTGATGCCAGGATACTGACTTATCGAACAAGGAACCAAGAAGCATAGTGACCAGAAACATGATAGTTCTTCAAAGTACTATATGTATACAATGTAAGAAACAATCAAAATCAATATTGACTAAGATTTTATCAACAAATAATTCAAAACATTTAATTTCGTTTTTTTTCTTTAATTTCAGAATAACCCGGTGAGATCAATTAGTGGTTATACCATCAAACAAGCTCTTAATATTAAAAATACGTAATATAATCTCATTATATTAACTTTAATGTATTTTGTGCAATAACTTACTGGTTAAGATAATTTTCAATTGATTTCCATCAACTGAAATTTAACAGCCATTATCAAATGTATTGTTTAACGACTCTACTCATCATTTATTGGTATTAATATTTTCATCATTTTTTGGCATAGATACTTTTCATCATTATTTATTTTTTCATGCATTTAATTCGATTTTATATTGACGTTGTGTAGTAAAAATACACAAAATTATCATTTTAATTCTAAGACTTAGGTTTAACTATATGCTTAAGAATTCATAAATTTGTTGATTTTATAAATTTTATAAAATACGTTTTTGTTAATATTTGAAGCACTTTTATCATGTGTGCCAATTTTATTCTGTAACTAGTAAGAATAAAAATTAAAACCATATTTTATTAAAAAAAATTGTTTCAATTATTTTCTAAGGACAGTAATATTAGGTGAGACGAACAAATTCAGAATCAGATCTCAAGAGTATTTAGTTTTATAAAGGTATATAAGACGAAATTAAGAGTATGATAAAAAAAATGAGTAAAGCTACTCTAAAATTAAATTTGTGGACAGAAGTTGTATGTGAGACAATTTTTTACCTTTTGTTGAAGTTTTCTCAAAAAAGGCTGGGCCGATTTCAAAATTTTATAAGCAATGCAATGTAACCTGACGTTGGTCAGTTTACTGCAATGATCGGCTAAGTCGTTTCTTTGTAATTAGATAAAAGCGTGAAATTTTTCGTCCACGTTTGAGCCCACAAACTTGAATCGACTTTAAAAATTAAAAAATTATCCGAAAGATATAGGTTGGGAATCGTGTGATTATCATTTGGTAAAGTCGGCTGGGCGTTTTTTCGTAATTAACCCTCCGTCGGTCGGATATTTTTTCACCTTCGAACGGTCGGAAAGGTCTGGCTAGACCACCATTCATTTTACATGCATTTATATGGATAAATGAGTTTTTGGTGTCTTATATATTAACGATTATCAGTAGTAAATATTTATAGTTTTGATTTTTTCTTTTTCTTACCGTCTTTTGCATGTGTTGAGCTTGCTTATAATAAAAATATTACATATTTCATTATATAAAAAAAATCAAGAAATATAAGAAAATCGTTGCTTTTTTGTTAATTTTTCTGTTTTATATCGATGAAAAACAATATTTATTCTTTTTCGGCGCCTTTGAAATGAATGTGAAATTGAAATGAAAACGAAATGAGGTGCGTCGCCTTTGAAATGAGCTGTAAAACTCAAAGTGAAAATATAATTTCACTACAGGTTTGCCAAAAAAAAACAATTCGAACGCAGTACGGATAGAAAAATTGTTGATAATGTGTGCATTACTCATCCGATTTTCAGTGTTTGCAATTACCAATAAGTTTGGTAGGTTTTCAAGGAACTCTCGTCATGAAAATACTAACATTCATGTTACAATACATAACAACGAATATATACAACGCAGTTTGAATAGAAAATACCATGAAAAAAGACAAAATATTGGTTTACATATATCAAAAAGCGTATATTTCATACAAAATGTATGGGTGGTCTAGACAGACCTTTCCGACCGTTCGAAGTATAAAAAAGTTAATATCCTTATAAGTATCCTTCTATACATGTTTTCGTCCTGATTTTTTCATTGATCGACCTCTAATGAAATTTTAGGAAAAGTCAAGAAATTTCAAGTCGATAGGATTACTAGAAGTATTTTTCTTTTTTAATTGAAGTCGAAAAAAGTCTGGCCAGAATTTTGACGCTCTTTGGCATAGATTGTGACCATCTATAAGTTCGTGTTTCGTAGGTAGTTACTGATTATAGTTAACGTTCACACTTAAATTGAATATAGTTAAGAAGAAATGGATTAAATAAAATGTGTTAAACAAATTGATTAATTTACGCAATTAAAGATATCATAATTGATTGATTGAGTGAATGCGCTAATATTATTTTCGAAATAATCTTTTGAATATTCTACCTAAATACCCAAATCTCAATTCTTATCAATTGGTTATGTATATGTGTCGGGAAATTAATGCAACTTGCCTAAAGGCTAAAATGCTACTTACAGCCAGCAGAATTGCTAGTTTTTCTCCTGCGCATGTGAGGAGTCTCTTGATCGAGTTCTTCTGGAAGAACGAATTTGCGCCAGGCATCCCGGGTCTGCTCGGCCGCCGTGACTGCAGCATCCCTGCAATTCATAGCAGGACGCAACATGGTCCAGGCTCCAAATATAGTTGGCTGTTGGGAGCAGATCTTGCACATACCTTTCAACAAAATGAATAAAACTAGCTGTAAGTGGAATTCTGTCTTAAGACAATTAAGGCATCGTGCCTTAAGGCAAATTGCTGGAACTTCCCGTACCAAAAATTATTATTTTTTTTAAAAATGATTAACATTTTTGAGAAAATTTTACTTCAAAAAAATAAGATTTTTGAGAAACTATAAATTGGACAAAAAATTACTTTTTTTTGAAAAATTTTTTTTTTAATTTATTTTTTGAAAAAAATGTTTTCTTTATTTTGACATATTTTCGTAAAGCAATCGTACTGCTTTAACTGCATAAAGACGAAATATTAAAGCGCGTAAGCGCCGCGTCGCCGTCTAACGCGTAAACATTGGTACGGAACCCATAGGAATGTAAACCAAATTTATACTTATCGTTAAAATCTCTATAAAATATCTGATAATTTGATGTGCATATGTCTAATGATTATTTTTGACCGCCAAATGGCATTTTTTTTTAATTTTTTTTACTAGATCTCCGAAACCGCTAAACCTGCCTTTATAAAAATTTTAACAATTCTTCATCTTGTCAATGCAAGTAAAATGTTTTTTGAATTATTAAAATCGGACGCTCCGTTCTAAAAACTGAGTTACCGTTTTGGAACTTTTTGCCCCGTATCTTCGGAACGGCTAAACCTGCCTTCGCCAAAAACTAATCAGCACGTCTCCTTATCAATTCGAATCAAATGTTCTTTAGATTATTCAAATCGGTTGATCGGTGTTCCCGAAATCGTCGACGAAAATTTGCATCCGCACATAGATACACACACGCACATACACACACACACACACACATACATCCATTTTTTCTAAGGTATGCCAAAATATTTAGAAACCTTTGAAACGTCGAGAAATGCAAACATTTTCATTTTCGATTTTTTTGCGATTACTATAACTTGCTCTACGGGAGTTAACTAACGCTTAAGTTGAATTCGAAGTATCTGAACGTCGGGCAGATTTAAGAATTTTTTCAAGATTTAAAAACAAGTATATATGAGTAAGATGATATATATGAGTTTATTACCCAATGATATTATACGTGCACAAACGGGCGTTTTAGGTCTGAATTTTTTTACTGTGCTCCGAATCGAATGAAATTTTGGAATTGGGTTCATCTTACCCTCAAGTTCAAAGTGAAAACAATTCGGGTTGCGCCATCACCCCCCGGGGGGATGACACCCCCTCTCAATTGTGTAATTACATTTTTTTAAAATAACTTCGGAAATCGATAGAAAAAATACTATTTGCAATTCCTGCTAAGGATCGATCAGGATATATTTGGCATGGCGTAATTCCATACTAAACTATTTCTGCCAAGGGCTTGGATGTTACTATTGAGGTGATCCCTATAATTTCAGATAAAAATTTCATCAGTGAGTTTTTTAATTTGGTTGAGTACCGTCGATACATCAGTCTATTTATGCAAGTATTGTCTTGTCATGGGTCCCTTGATTTGTTGAGTACTAGTCGTAAAGCTTTGCTTTGTTAGTCTGCAATCTCCGAAGTCGCATTCATGCCGATATGCAATAAATTCGCCAGATTTTGTTAAAATGTGGACAGTAATGTATCGATTCTCACATACTAGTAAATTGATGTATATTAGTTGTAACAGCAAAAATATTTTGTTGATTGATATGTGCTATACTGAAACTGATTCGATATGTGCTATACTATAGTATACTATAGTATAGCACATATCGAAAATGGGACAGTAAGTATCGATCTCACATACTAGTAAATTGATGTATATTAGTTGTAACAGCAAAAATAATTTTGTTGATTGATAGTTGCTATACTGAAACTGATTCGTATATGCTATACTATAGTCTACTATAGTATAGCACTATCGAAAATGTGACAGTAATGTATCGATTCTCACATACTAGTAAATTGATTTATATTAGTTGTAACTGTTACAAACTATATACATCAATTTTACAGATAGTGAGAATCGATACATTACTGTCCACATTTTAACAATCTGGCGAATTTATTTGCATATCGTATGAACGCGACTTCGGAGATTGCAGACTATACAAGCAAGCTTTCGACTAGTACTCAACAAATCAAGGGACCCCTGACAATACACTATTACTTGCATAAATATACTGATGTATCTGTGATTTTATAACATGAAGAAAACCATATTCACAATTATGTCAGATGTTGAGTCTGATAAATCAAAAACACATTAATTGCGAAAATATTTGCTAAAATTTTGCTAAAATATAAATAAGTTTTCTAATTACATTCAAATATGGTCGATAATTAGTGACATGGGTCATCTGACATAATCAACATCTGACATAATGTGAATATGGTTTTCTTCATGTTATAAAATCACAGAAACATTACTAAAGGACCAATACTGCCGTAAAATAGACCAATGCCATGGCAAGGCTATGTTAAGTAGCAGTTTTCATATAAAGTGGTACTAAAAACTGTCAAAATTTATGTGCAGTCATTTTAGATAGAA